TATGTCATTGTTGATAACAATAGTTTGCTCGATATTTGATAATTGAAAACTAGTAACTGTACTAGCTCACTTCTTCATGTTTGATTACAAAACTGCTATTTTCACTGCATGTTACTTTTTCGCAATATACCCAAGTTAATTATTTACTAAGTAGATTGTTATTAGTTATTAGAATATTGAGCAGAATTAAATTAAATCCAATTTCAAGTTTATATGACAATTTGTTTCAAGGTTACGAGCATTTTTATGCAGCTGTTTATGTTTCACTACTTCAAAAATTTGCGAATTTCGGAAAAAACATTTATTGTTGAAAGTAATATGCATTTTTTGGAATTTCATCCTATGGGATGTGTGTTTATAATTAAACGCCGACCAGCCTGTGTAGGGGGCAGGGGACTGTCCTTGCATCAGAAAGGTTCTGGGTTCGAATCCCGGGCAAGGCATGGACGTTTCTTTCTCTCTATCTGAGTTCTATGTCCTTTCTCCTTTGTGTGTGAATGTGACCCACCCTATAAACGGGTTGTGGTAGTGCGACGTGGGCGACGCTGCTCCATCGCCGTGGCTTCACCACAGGTGCCCACTGGTTAACGAAAAGAAAAACGATTGTTGATTCTTGATTACATTGACTAAAAAAATATTAAAATAACTATTTTTTAAGAAACTCTGATGTGATTGACCATAACGTAAGTCCTTTTCAGAATCAGCGTCAAAAATTTAAAAAAAGCTATTAGTTTCATGAAGTCTGACAAAAAGTTTAAAAATATAGACTTGGTTTGTTGAGTTTAAAGATTTGTAAAAAAAAACAAAGAACGAAAATCTAATTATCAAACTTACAAGCTAATGTTCAGATGTATGGAAAAATAAAAAGCATTAAAATTGTAAAATAAGACTGGAATTATGCATTTGAATTTCTGTAAATGTTGTTAATGGTAATACTGTCTTCAGTGTATTTTATTTTGTGGCTGTGATACCTGTCATGCTTTTTAGCTACGAGGATTGAATTGAAATGGAAGAAAAGTAATACTATTTATCTGAAAAAGAAAATTAATTTCATCCAGTTAATTTAAATCATAAAAAAAGCAATTTCTAATATTTTAATGTTTCAAAACCTGCCACTATTATTGTAAATATAACTTTCTTATTAATTCATATTTTTTTTTCTTTTAGGTTCCAATAATTACAAGTTTCAACATATAGACGGAAACACAGTATTTAAAATAATTTTGTTGGTTTGTAAAATAATGAAATTTCAGTTTTAAATAAAAGTAATTTGAATTTCAGCTGACTAATTATTTAAATTTGTAGTTTTATAGCTTTAAAAATTCAAGCACCTTAGGCAACTATCTTCTAAAAATACGAGTATGAGTTTCCATAAATAATTTTTACTAACTGTAGAATTTGGATAATTTTAAGATAATTTAATTCGATCTATTGAAATTATAGAAGAATTATGCATTTGAAACTTTCTTTTGTAGCTTAACTAAAGAAGCAATTACTGCCGAAGGTTTAATATTAAAAACTTCAGGTTGATAAATGATCTCTAGTAGTGAAAAAAATGTAATGATATACATTATTTTTCCTATAATATATATAATATCTTTATATATAATATATTTTTTATATAGTTAGCCTAAAAATTAATAAACTAGGTGGTCCGTATAACACCTCACCTTCGTAAGTGCTAAAAAAAAATTAGGTTGAGCTACATAAGCCAGAAGTGCAAAATGTCGCATCTTTGGTTGATAAATTAATACTTCTAAAAATACAAAAATATAAACTTGAGGTTACGAAAATAACTTAAGGTAGAACATGGAACAAAAGGCGTTAATAAAAAATAACCTTTCCAAGTGTTGAAAATACACTTCAGGTTGATTTATAACAACCAGAAGTTTAAAATGGTACACCTTAGGTTGAAAAATATCTACCTCTACAGGCATAAAACTATATACCTGAGGTTGAAAAATAATTACCTGAGGTAGAACAAAATACACCTGAGGTTGATTTATAACAACCAGAAGTGTAAAACGACACACCACAGGTTGATAAATATATATATCTCTACAAGCATAAAATTAGATACCTGAGGTTGAAAAATATTTATCTGAAGTCGAACAAAATACACCTGAGGTTGATTTATAATAACCTGAAGTGTAAAATGACAAACCTTAGGTTGTTGAATAAATACTTCCACAAGTGTAAAAAAATATACTTCAGGCTGATAAGTAATAGCCTAAGGCCTATTTAGCCTAGGCCTAAGGCCTATTTTAATAGCCTATTTGAGGTTGATTTTGAGGTCTTGCACCCTTTTCAACCTTAACGACGTATTTAAATAACAGCCGCCTTTATACCTTTAAAATATACCTCGTTTATACCTCATTTATACCTCGATTTTTTCATAAGGCATCGAATCGTCTACTGCATATTTTAAAAAAATTGGAAGGAGAAAATACAATTTTTAAAATATCTTAGAATTTAAAATATAGCTAAAAAATTAAAAATCATGCTTCGTAATTTGTTTACAGTTGTACTTATTTAGATCCACGCTGAATAACGTATTTCAGAGCTTACGTTATTCCCCCAATCTGATATACAGACAGACAAACAGACAGGCATACAAATTCTTTTTTTTAATTAAATATTTAGAATATTAGATTTATTAACATAACAATCAAAACAGAAGATTATATCATTTTTGTCCTTCCAACATTAGTCCGTGATTTCCGCATTAGCTGAAAAAGAAATGCCAGAATTATAAAACAAATTTTTCATAGAGTACTCTTGTACAAATCAATTATGGTTAAAGGCTGATTGTTACTCGGGAAAAAAAATCTGTGGACAAAATATCCATGACGATCGCTATTTATTACCATTTACAATGCATACAAGTTTGCTAACTGTTACGCTTTTCGCAAAATAGTTTAAAGTGTGGTGGACAACTGAAACCTGAACTGAATTTTAGCCAACACTTTAAAAGAATCATCAAAGATGCAAAATGCTCCACTTAATGCAAAAGTTTTAATAAATTGGTAGTGAATTAAATAGTGAAACTTGTAGAGCAAGAATAATTACGTCGACTTAATAAAATGTTACGACGAGATACCGCAATAAAATTGCATTTCACATGATACTTTGAATTTTCGATGTGCAGTGGGGAAAAAATTATTTAAAATGAAAAATACTAAACTAAAAATAACTTAATGTTTGAGACCACTAGGAAATATTTTTTTACAAAACAGAGCAAGTTGGCATCTCTGCATCTCCACAAGAGAGCTGCGTTTCATATGAACTTTTCAATCATTTGCATGTAGTGGTGTAGAAATAAAACTTTAGAATGAAATTTGTAAAACAAAGAATCTCGACTTAAAATAGGGTTGCCAAGTTTCTATGCTTTCAGGGAAAATTTATTCTAGTGGTAGCCATGTTTATGATTCAATGTATTATTAGTTTTGTAAATTTGTTTTAAAGTCATTTTCCCTAGCACTACATGTACATGATTCAAAAGTTTGTTTCAGTTCTTTCGTGGTGAGGCTTTTCAAAGTACCAAATATGTTGAAAACTTCACATTTTATCTGTGTACAACTCTATAAAATATTTTGCAATAATCTCAGTAGTTAGTAGCCCTGCATTTAAAACTTAAACTTAGCTGGCAACTCTTTCATATTTGCCGGAAGATACGATATGTAAAGTGATAGCGAAATTTATATTCTTTTTTTCTAAATTATTCTTGTCTTGAAATTTGTGCTGAGCACCTGGGCCGCGCAGGGGCCCCCATCTCATCCATCATGTTTCTTTTAAACTTGTGGTAGAACATTGAGGTTAGCAGTGTATGTGGTGGCTGTTATTGGGATTCAAGCACCTTGCTTGAGCAAATAATAATAATGGAAATTATAAGAAGCAGGCTTGCTTTAAGCTATGTGTGGCTTTGAATGTAGATTGATGGTCAACGTGGGGAAGCGCTTGATCAAGTTGTCAGTATTGTTGTTGAATCTGATGCTATGGGTGGATATGTGACTAGTCACATATGGGATATGTGACATCCTTAGAGGGAATAAAGTAGGCAGCTATGTAGCTACCAGTAAAAAAAAGTAAAACAAATGGCAATGAAGCCTCCCTTTCGAGCGAGCTTATCGATCTGCCAAGTAAGCGGACGTAGAGAATTCAAATCCTACCGTAACCTCTCAATTGTACTTATGATTTTCAACTTGAAAATGAATTACAAGCCGTCCTTAAAACAAACAGATAAGTGTGCATATGAAGATTGAAGTTGGCAGCACAGAATAATTCAAATATTTACAATATAGCGCTTTATGGTCACTAACATTTTACTACTTACGAAAAGTAACTGGGCACATGAAAATTTTACTCTTTCACCAGGTAGTAATCAGCTCTATATGATTACAACTGCTTATATTACAAAAGCACATTCTTAAAAATTTGATTCTTAGTTGAACCATTACATTAAATCCTTAAAAGCAACATTTCGTAACGACTGAAAAACTGCTTTCTAAAAAAGTTAGAGGACATTTTTGCGTTAAACCGAGAAGGGATATTTTTATAATCAACTACCATGATTTGTTTGCGTTGTGATTTTAGATCTCATTAAAGATAATGATTGCTTTCTGTGTTATCTCGTGGCAGAGATGGAAGTATTTTCATACTGTTCCCGAACTCATATTTATGGAGATTTGTGCAAATCAATGGCAGCCGAAAAGATTTTAAAATATTACTACCAAAGGCTAATCGTAAATAAGACCCAAAAAAATTTTGAACGTCACTACTAATACATATTTGAAACATCTACAAAATGTTCGATCGAAAACTGACAAAAGTTCTTAAAAAATAACTATTTGTTTTATAAAATTTACGACAAAACATCAGAGGTTAGAAATGACATGGATGGTAAGTTAATTTCAAAAAAGAAGAAAAACTCTTACTTTGGCAATCCTGGAGATTTCACTGAAGACCGGGTAAAATGAACTGCAGAATTGGTGCGAGTGCGTTAAAAAAAGGTTCCAGAGCTTTTTGGATAAAAGCAACTGAGTAAAAATTAATATGATTAGTAAATTGATAATTTGAGCACATTTAATAGCATTGAAGTATGAATACATGTGGCACTGCAATTAACAACTATACCAAGGAATAAAAATAGTTTTTTTTTTTTTAGTTTTATATCTGCATTTTTCTACAATTAAAAAGAGAAGAAGGGATACTGATGATTTTCTCCCAATATTTAGTCATCCTTAAAATTCAACAAATGGCAATCCAATCATAGTTTTTGAAAAAAAATTACATAATATACCGTTCTTTCCTCTTGATCTTCAATGATGAATAAGAAGCAATCACGGGGGTTGGTGAGCGAAACAAACGGGAACTCATAGTATCTTAAATAATACTTAGTAATTTCGATGAAAATATTATGGTAGATTGAAACTTGGTAGATAGAATTAATGCATTTAATAATTATTTTACCAACTTGTTCATTTTACAACGACCTGAATATGATGTTAAGTGTATAACAATAAAAATAAATTCAAATAACAAATAAGCCATCTTTTTTTGCAATGATTCTGACATTTACTATTACTATAAAGTTTCTTTTTGAAAAAAGTAATGAAGTTCGAACGCATCTCTTTTTTTTTGCCAGAATATTAATTTCTTAGAGCAAACGACATCCCTTCTCCGTCATTTAAATGGGGAATTTTCCAAACAAGCCACCAGCGGTAAATTTTCCCTTCGATCAATCATAAGTAGTTTCTCTCTTGATATCTCTCTTCTAATTTAGTCAAAATCGCCGAAAGAGATCGAGCAAGGGACAGAAGGAACTCTAATGATGATGCTTTGATGTAGGAGATGAGAAAATAGAGCTGTACGCTTATTCTACTCTATAGTTGAAACATCGATTTTTGTAACCTTAATAATTTTTGAAGTTAATGAAGTTTTTATACTTTCAAATATATTTCATTTCATTTGTTACAACTGTGATTAAGTCATGAGTTTCAAATTTCTTCATGGTATTTTTTCCTACCGAAAAAAAAAACGTTATCGAAATTGTAATGATTTTTTTATCAGTTTTTTCCCCGATCGACACAAACAGTCCTAAACCAAAAAAATATATTAATCACATATTTATTGTAGTATTACATTGTTATATACATTATAAGTATTTATTACGAAATACGTAAAAGAGCGAATCCCGTTACTACTAGAAATATCTTTCTAACCAATCGAAAAAAGTTGAAATCTCTGTATATGTGAGAAAAAAATTAAACTTTTTGAAAGAAAATTCAAATATTATTTTAAAAAAAAGTTTCAAAAAAAGCAGATTCAATCACTTTAAGTTAACCCACAAATCTAAACTATGTGAAATTATTCTGAACAAAACCGAAAAAAATATTTAAAACACCTGGAGGAAGGGAATAAACAACGGTATTTAGGCAGTAAATTTTACATAGATAAACACTTGGGGCAATTGGAAAGCTTTTTAGAAATGGTGACTTAATTACCCCATGTATATTTTGAATCAATCAAAATGTGAAGTTCTATCTAGCATTAATACCAGTCTATTGGATCGAGATATTCAAATACGACCAATTTTAGAATTATAATGGTATCAAATGGAAAAAAAGAAAGCTTTAAACTTCCTACGTTCATTTTAGTAGAGGCTAATTTTCCACGAGTAAAAGTGATACAATTTTCAAAAGCTTCAGGCATGAGCTTTGAAATTGTTTTGCCATGTAAAATCTTCTAAAACATTCACATTCGCTGCTGAAAGAAAGATTGTTTACCTAGAGTTAGTATAGAAGTGCTCGCATTATTCTGTTCTGTACCTGTATAGAAAAGCAAAGACTCCAAACGAAAAAAATTGATTTGTTTCAAACTTTTCAAGGAAATGTCGAGTCAATCACTTTCATATTTTATAACAGTCGTTGAACAACCTACCCAATATCGGGCTTACGACTACTGATGTTCAACTCCTAAGCCTCGGAATTTTGAACCCAATCCGGAAGACAAGGGAACTTCTGGATCAAGTATTGGGGAGAAATTCGCTTTCATGGAGGACTTTTTGATGGAACTAAGCAGCATTTGCGTTACATGAGGAGGAAAACCATGAAAACTTCCCATGGTAAACCTGAAGGCAAGGAGACTCTAACCCATGATCGGACTACCACGGAGGCTATTTTACGTCAGAACTGTGGTCAGCACCAGGTGCGGAATCCGTATCGACCAGCCATGGCTGGGATTCGAACGGGGTTCACTTCATTGGAAGACTAACGCTCTATCAACTGAGCCGCCCCGGATGAATTATTTTAATAATGAAATTTAGTGCATTTGTATGATGAGAGTCAGAAATGTTGGACGCAATAGTGATTTGCGGTGGAGAAACAGCAAATTGTTGATTGCCAAGCCATCTCCTACCATTTTTCTGTTCCTTGAGTACATCATAAAGAATAGCTATACAGCAACACATATTCGGAAATTTATTATATGAGGAAACAAATATACTTACGAAAGCCACCCACGGTAGCTACAATAAGAATAAAAAGTAATCAGATTAAATTTAATGCTATAAAGATGCAGATGAATGGTTTTGAACTTGATGGAAAATAGGACATATCGAAAGAAACAAGGAATCCATGACAAAAAATGTGAGTTTGCGATGAAACAAATGTACTTACGGGTCAAGTCTGTCAATTTTGCCCCGTCGTTACCTACAATAGAAAAAAAAGTAATCAAATTAAAAATAATGTCGTTTACAATTTTTGATCCTGCTCAGTTATTACAAACTTGGAGAGCAAATTAAAAGAAACGAGAATTTTACAGCAACTCAAAGCAAGAATTGTCCTAGAACACCGCTTGGGAAGTTTCCTCATTATAGACGTTGTAGGAACTTTTTGAAGCAGTACTTTTATTTGCCTAAATTGTCTTAGTTTTATGTTCTCGAAAAAATATTGCTAACATTTGCATTTAAGCAGAGCCAGTGTTTATTTTTTTAGAGTAATTAACTTACTTAGTGAGCTCTGCCAGTTAATTAACAAATCTATAAACTACACTAAAACAGCTAGCTTAAATCTATTTGAAAGCTATTTTTGACAGTAGATATTGGAAAACATTAAATTAAGATAATTCAGATTTAAACAAAAGTAGAGATTTAAATGTGCAGGAACAGTCAGCCCATAATTAGAAAGCGGCCACACGTGCTGCAAAATCTTTGAACATGGTTGTTGCTACTCTATTCAATAATTTCCTTCCAAGTTTGCAATCGTTGCACTGAATAAACCTTGTATAAGTGTTGGAGTTGAGCATAAAAATTTTAAAAAAAGTGTAGATGAAATTAAAATTGTCTCTTGCGTTTAATAAGAAAGTGTTAAATGAGTTTGTAAATACCTGAAATTATTTGCGAATTAAACGAAATATGAGCTTGAATGCTTGAATTTATAAAGTGAAAGTTATTCCAATGAAATTGAAATCAGCATCATGAAATATTTGACTTCACCTGATATTCTTGACATTTACACCGGCGCTTTTAGCTTTCATTGCTTTTAAAACATGTTTTTAATTACCTTAATTTTTAGTTAATTGGCTTTTAACTGTTCACCACCACAGTCATTTGGCAAAATTTTACTGAATTTTTAGGTTTTTAACTTAAATATTTAATGTAATAATTTAACTTTTTATCTCCGTATACCCCCCTGGGTGGGTTGGAGCTCTACCTATCTTACCTTCACCTCATAAAACTATAGACTATTATAATCCTAATATGTGTCAAAGTGTTGTCTCCGTACCCATAAAACCTATAACAGGATTCCCAAGAGTCTGACAAACTTAAAAAGCAGTGATTAAAACAGAAAAAAAAAACGCTAATATTTTAATATATTTGTGTCCAAAACTTGATAATATTTTTAAAGTATATGCACTACTGACCATTAAAATTGCAGAACCAGGAAAACATGCGAATAAATGAGAGCTAATTAATAGATACTTAAATTGTAAAAAACAATTGCGAATTAATTTTTTAAAGAAATCAAGGGCTTATTGCTTCAAAGAAATTAGTACAAAGAATTGCAATGTTGGACCACGATATCAGCATTTATACACTTATGGCATTTTATTATCAGAATGACATCTTCTTATCAGAATGTCAAAGTTGTATCTTACTATTCGAATTCTCAGACCACACATTGTTTAGAAATGAAGAGAACCTGTTGTCAAAGACAGCAAACTGTTCTGTAACAGAGAAGGCTAGGACAGAACGATCAATACGCGGTTGTGCATAATTCTACTGAAAATTAGAGTTAAAGGCATCTTATCGAAGATAGGACTGAGACACGGACGTAAATACGATTTAAATAAGAAAGTTATCGTTCTCAAAGTTATAGGATTTTATCTAATAACCGTCGTTGAGCTGCCGACCCAATTTTGGGTTTACGACTTCTAATGCTCAAATCCGTATTCTCGTAATTTTAAACCCCATCTAGAAGACAAGGGAACTCCTAGTTCAAGTAGTTAAAACAATTGTAAAACACATTTTTCAAAGTGCTCAACAAAAATTCGAAGTAATATTACCCAAGAATTGTTTTTGCTCCAAACGTATGTAACATTTTCAAATTGGCTTATTAATTTTATTTTATAGCCCTCGTTGAACACAACCTTCGCTGAGCTGACCCAATTTTTTAAATTTACGACAACCGATGTTAAACTCCGTAGCCTTGTAATTTTAAATCCAATCTAGAAGACAAGGAAACTCCTAGTTGAAGTATTTGGGGTCATTTGCCTTCATCGAGGACTTTTTGATGAAACTAACCCACATTAGCGTAACGCGGAGAGGTAAATCAAGAAAACTTCTCACGAGTAGCATGGCGACAAGGGGACTCTAACCCATGATCCGTCAACCACTGCGAATATTTTACGTCAACACTGTGATCGGTGAGACCCGGGTGTTGAATTCATATCGACCATCTATCCCTGGGATTCGAATCTGGTTCATCTCAATGGAAGGCAGGCGCTCTTCGTCAGAGAAAAGAATATTGCGCCTTTTATTTCTTCTCCAATTTGTATGCTCTGTTACTCACTTCATGCGAGAGCGACTGTTTCTTGCTGTTAACATGGCACACACCATTGTTCGGCGAGAATACAGACCTACAGCGTGAAGACGATTTCGGAGACGGTGTCGAAACTGTGGAGCCAGTAGCCCAGTGAAGGTGCTGTTGAAGAAGAGTAGCATTCATATTACGATGTCTCCGAGCCGTTATCGTTAAATAACGATCTTCATTGTTGCACGTCTACGCTCATGCCTTGATCTTCGGCCTGCATTTCTAATGTCCAAAAAACTGTTCCAAAATCTAGAAATCACACTTGGTGAAACTCTAATAGCTTCTGCTACTTCGGCTTCTGTTTGGGCCCCCTCTAATCGGTCAACTATTCTCCAAGCTTCTGATTCGGTTAAATGACTTCGTTGAGATATCGCACTCATCGAAACAACGCCCTTACTGATAATGTCGATCATTCTTTTCAACTTTATCTTGCATTAAGTTGAAAGCCAAATCAAATTCGCTGCCATTAAGGCCTGTTCTTCGACGTCAAACTCAAAGTTTGCATATTTAAAAGTTTGAAAATAAGAGAAATTTGCATTTGTGACTCCCTTCTTCCATTTTATGCAGCAGCAAAAAAAAGTTGCTTATATCGTTATTTTATACAAGACTTTTAATATATTTTAAATGTTTTGAGAAGTGTATTAAGAAACATATATTCAGAAACGTTTCGGATTTTCTTTTTGTACAGTGTATCTTTTATTGGATAGACTAGATACAGCTCCAGAATCGTTAATTTAACTGTCGGACATATAACCAAATTTAAAGTCCTTATAAATATATTAAATGGTTTCAAAAAAGCCTTTTGTCAATACCTTCACATTTTTTTTGTATACTTTATTTATAAAGTCGAGTCTCCTCCAGAAAAAAGGTTGATTTTTTTAGCGTTCCACTGCTGAAAAAATTTGGGAACCGCTGGAATATTTCTCTAAAACTTTGACGGCACAGACTGTACCCCTATTTTTAACATTGACAAATGAATAACAATTTGGTGCAAACTAAAATTACTTTCTTGCCAACCCAATATTTATTTGTTTTGATATTGGATGGTTTTTCATGCATAAATCCATCCACCTGAGAAACCTATTAAAGTCAACTAGAATATATGTGAGTTGGAAATATTGATTTATATTTTATTATTATTTAGTATAACAGTTTCGCAGTAATAAAATAATTTCAACAAGAGTAATTTTTAACTTACAAGACATAACATTTGCTGATAAAAAGCACCATTTGGCAACACTAGAAAATCTTATAAGCAGGCGGTCGTAGGCTTGATAATTTTTAGTTTTGCAGCGAGTATGGATGATGTTTTCTACACTAGAGAACGCTGCAAGCTTGGCGCCGTCTAAATTTCTGGGTTACTGTTTCCGTTGTATTTTAAAGCCATTTGTCAGCATTGTGTTTTGAGATTCTTGCAAACAATGTATTTGATTACTTATTACTTGCGTTTACAATGCTATCAATACTTGTATTCACAATGCTAAAAGTGTCAACACTAACGTAAGATGGTGCACAGCTTGCAACAAGAATAAACAGCAATAAACTTATGGAAAGAGGCCATATCTTGACTGCCAAAAAAAGCGAGTTATTCAAAATCTAGCAACCATGTCACCTTTTTTAACAATATATCTCTAAATAACTGAAACAAAATTTCACTTCAAACTCACCAGAATTACATAATAACTTTAATATCTAATGAAATACGGCAGATTTGAGCTCTGCAATTATCTAATTTATTTCTGTTATTGAAAACAAAATTATCCGTTTGAAAATATCGCCTCGCAGAATAACATGTAGTAATCAGCTGCAAACTTTCTAACCGGAACTAGAGCAGGCGTAGAACTCGAGATTATTATTGTGTACATTTCTACGGAAAACACCATCCATGGGTACATCGTTAAAGAAACATACTTATTTTAAACAATTTTACTTTACTGGATTTCCTTCAAACTTTGACTCAATACTAAGTTATGAAAACTTTAAATTAATCTAAACATTTAATTGAAATAAAATATAGATAAAAATTATCACAATATCAATAGATAAATGGCATGTAGAAAAATATATAAAAAATAGTTATATTTAAAATATAAAAACAGTTGATATGCTTACCACCACCTTGCTGGCCTGTTATAAGGAAAAAACTAATTAGCAAAGTAAATAATAATAAAAATATTTTAATTATACTAACGAAGGAAAAAATTTATTATACATTACATTATGAGTTGAAATTGAAATAATTTTATGGACATTATGTATATATTTGAATAAATTCATAAATTCAATATTATAAAACATTGACACCGCATTAGAAAAAATAAGACAGATTTTTAAAAGGTAGCTATAGTGCATTTATTAAAAAATTCACTTTAAATATAATAGTCAGGTTTTTTAGTGCAATTCAGGAGTTCGTGCACAACAAGAATTACAAATTGGTCCTGATTTAATTGATTTCAAAACATTAAATTTTATTACCAGAATATTTTTATTGAATACTAAGTAAATATGTGTTAATCCAAAGATCACAATATAATAGCACTAACGGCAAATAATTAAGATTATGAAACATTAATTTTAGATATGCTAATTATTTTTAAATAATTTATTGATTAGGTAACCACGAACAATAAACTTATATTTAAACGTATACTTGGGACTATTTACTCTGACATCATCATGATGTATTTTTTTTTATTATTATTTATTTATTTTTTATTTTTTTTGAAGTTTTGCCTGACCTTACGGGCCCTAGCGTCCTCTAGCAACACTTCAAGGAAACAGTTCATTGATACAGTAGACAGTAATTGACACTCTACGATAAGTTATGTATATTTTCTTTATCATATTTTTATTCATTCCTGTACGATTATATTATAATAAATTATAAATCTTTGTCATTATAATAATAATTATTTGCTTTAGAGATGAGTATTTATGCTTTTGAGATTTTTTCGCTAGTACATTGATATCGAAACATAACAATTTTTGAATTAATTCCAAATCTTTTACTTTAGATTTTAATTCTATTATACGCAAAAAGTGCTTTTTTCATGTTTGTATTTCACTCCAATCTGTTTTTATTTTGTATCGTTAAATTCCATTGTCAGCAAAGAAAAGAAGAAAAATCTACATTAATCACGAGTTTCCGTATTTATTCTTTCATTAGTTTAAACAAATAATGGTGCATGTCATCTATGTTAGTAAATATTAAATTCAACATTAAAATAAATGTAGAAAAATGACAAGAGATTAAAATTTAAAAATTGATCGTCATTTACTTCAGAAAATGTATTTTTATCTTACAAAGAGCACCCGATATTCTTTAAAAAATTAACGTTTAAGAATATTTTAGCACTAAAATAAAACAAATGACCAAACGATTACAAAGAAATATCTATATTTAAGTAAAATATAAAATATTAAAAAATTATAACTCATCTATCTAATTAGTTGTTAAGCTTATTGCTGTAGCATGGCGATGAAGAAGCTAGGACAGAGTGTTGTTTTTTTGCGCGCATTAATTTTACAAAAAAAAGATAGAAAAAAAAACGCGTAGCCTTTTTATATGTTCTAGCATTGGAGTGGAAACTATTTCTCTGTATAAGTTACTCATAAAGGTGAAAATATACGGTTACTGTTATTGACGGATTTTTTTTGTAAAGAAAAGTTTACTATGTACCAACGGGAAACAATTTATGTTGGTGTTACTTCATTATTTCCTAATATATGTTGGTGTTCTAAACATTATTTTTAAAGAAATGTTTAACTTTCAACCGATTCCTCTAAGTTACCATAATTACTATTAAACACTTATTTATTATTTTGGCTGATGACTAATCTGTTCGCGTCTTAGTGCCACTTCTAATTCATTCCACTACCGATTTAGGTATCGAAATTCAATAACTGTTATTCCGCCATAGTCCTTTATATCAATCAATTTTAATTTTTTATTTAATTATAAATTGTTTTAATCAATAAGTGTTAGCCTACTGCACGGCACTTTTCTTCAAATTAAATTACTTTTTGTTAAATGTTTTTTATGTTTCTTTAGATTATGTAAAATTAAATAAGCAACTCATATCTCTTTAAAGGAAAAACGAGGTTTAGGATTGGCTATTGGGAATCCTCGCAGAGCGGTGATTTCGTTAGTGAGAATCACTAACGAAATCGCTGAGTTTTGAGAACGTTTGTTTGAACTAATGAAATGTTTTATGAGCAGTGTAGCTAATGGTTACATAATATGCTGATTGAGGAGGAGGTTGAAGCAACCTATCTGCGATTCGAAAATTTTTTAAATTTAATTTCCTACATAATATTTATTAGGTGTGCAGAATCACTTTAAATGTTACATTGTTGCTGTTGGAATAAAATTAATCACTTCAACCGAAAGAACTACTTTTTTTCCAAGGAAAATCAACATCCGAGAGGAACAAATACAAAGATTACTTCTTGCTTTCTTAAATTAAGAAACGAATCAATTGTTGGTAAACTTTTAATTTTAAATGTAGTTTAAATAACGGTAATTATTATTAACTTTAAATCTAATAATAACTTTAAATCAATGGTACGGGATTGGTATAGTTTTTTAAATGTAATTTAGTGTGAAAACCATCATACATCACACTACGTTCCTCCAATAGTTGTTAGGTAAGGGCATCGGCCAACAATGAATTCTCACATTCTCCAAAATTATCACGTAAGTCAACTTTAAATCAATGGTACAGGATTGGGGGTACCTTTGGGGGTACTGAATTGGAGATTGACATTAGAAACAACAACAACACTATGACTCCAAGTTCGTTTATACTATGGTTATGATCTACGGACAGCAAGTGCAAGGAACAACTTTAAAAATCGTTCAAAAATTCCAATGAGCTCGTTCGAGATAAACGGTAGAAAAGGCAATTTTTGTCATTGGTTATTAATATTAGGTAGTGTTTCAAATAAAACTGCCAACTATTCCGTTTTATTTTCCCCAAATATTTAAATCATAACATTAGTGATGTTTGTTAGCTTAATACTCTGTTTAATCACGCATCACTGTAGTTTTTTACCCGTTCTTAAATAATTAATTATTCTTTATTGTTTATGTCGGTAGAGCTCAAGGAACAATGTGGATGGCATGTGAGAGTTAAGTCACTGAACAAGTGTTTTTACTACTTGTCTAAAATAAGTACTCCTCCAGACATTCGACTGCACCTGTGGTGGTGACTATGGTAACGAGGTATGACTATTTCAAGTAGGGGTGCGGGATCACTGTTTAGGAGTGGTATCGGCTCGGATCGGCGAGAGAAAGGGGAGAGAATTTGATTTATTTATTTTTTTTTTAAATATTTTTTTTTATTTTATCTTTTCGCTTTTTCACAAGTTTACATATTTTTTATGTTTCAACTCTCTTCTGATTTTCATCGATACTATTTGTCCAAATACTATGACAAGTTGAAATTGTTATTTCTATGAATAATGATTGATAAATAGGAGAATTAATCAGTATGGAAATTGCATAAAATTTTTCAGAGCAGTTCAATGTTTCATTAATAAATAACTCATTTATAAATTATTATACGTTGTAAATTGGTTATTAAGAAAGAAAAAAAATAAATTTGCTAATAAAAAATTGTTAGAATTAATTTTTTAATGAATGATGAGAGGAACTATACGGGTTACATTAAGATGAGAATAAGAAAACGTAATTTAAAAAAAAATTTGAATGACTTTGGGTGGTTTGATGGGTGATGATAAAAATTATCGTTGATAATTTTAGATTTCATCCTAGTTGCGGTAACTTGCTTTCTGTTAAAAATAATGATAATAATAATAAAAATAAAGATATTTAATATTTCTCCGGTATAGATAACATAAACTATTTCTATTTTCAATAAAAGTTTTATCTCCTTTTAAAATTTGAGTTAATAAATTTAAGCTCTTCACTTTTACCAGAAAACTAAACTAATAAAAGAAATTAACTACTTTAAAAAATGTGCATGATTAGAAATTAAACTACCTGAAAATCAATGAAAATTCATATTAAATAGTGCGAAATTAAAAAGTAACATTAAAAAAAACTGCACTACCCTTAATGTCAGAATTTGTTCAATTTTTTCTTCGTATTTAAAAAATATTAACTGATTGGTTGAAGATAATCATTTTACGTAAAGAAGAAATATATCCGTAAAGAAGAAATATATCCATGCGAATCTTAAAAAAGAATCAGTTCTTGAATCAGATTAAATAAGTCTCCTACTGGTGGCTGAGTCAGCCAATATGGTATATTTCCCATACAGAGCATCGAAGCTACCCTCCCTAAAACGTGCCATTCTTGCTTCCTTAGCACCAAACGGCCTCAGACTTTGAGGAGGAAGGAATACTTTTTTTTATTGCTTAGACAGACAAAAATAAGGACATCTGGAACCACGTGTTCACATTGTTTACAGTTATGCTTTTGAAGCGTTTTAACACAAAACTAAATAATTTAAATTCGATGGTAATTTGAATTAAAATAAAATTAAGTTGCGCACTAAAGAGCAAAATTAATGTAGAAAATTGCTTGATAGCGAAAAATTTTGATAGTTTTCAGTTGGTCAATAGCAGCATTATCAGAATCGATTAATACTGAGTTAAATTTTATTTAGATAAAATTTACCTCTTTAGTAAAAACGTGTTTAACTAAATCTAATAATGTTAAGGCACCAGGAAGAGTAATAAATAAAAAAAATTCCAATTATTTTAGCTTTATTAATGGTATTAGCACAGTTATTCAGCGTTTTTTTTTTAAATGATTTTGCAATGTTGATTAATACCGATTAGTTGATTATTTCCTTTTTCTTTTCCCAATAAATACTACGGTTAAAAAGCTGAAAAACTGCAAATAAAAATGAGAACTAAAGTGTTAGAAGTATGAAACGTAAAAACTGCTACTACTTAATAGAAAATAGAAATTCTAGTAACAAACACTGAAGTTTCTTAGAAAGTATAAAGTAAATAGATTTTAACTTACATTCAGTTAAACATACAACGACGCACACAACCAAGAAAATCAGGACAAATCTAGACATAATGAGGTTATATTTTAAGACTAAGCGTATCTTATACAGTCTATAGTATGGCTGATCTGATTCGCAATGAAATTTACTAGATAAATCTTCTCTTTTATTCTATATGTTATGACTCATTTATAATCTTTTAGAATTTATTTTGCAGATTAGCAACTCTTTGAAACGGCTCATTTTTAGGCATTTCATAATTAGTTTCGGGACATATAGAGTTTTGAACGGGACACTTTGAATCTATTGTTTAGTCAGCTACTATTATATCACTGCAATATCAATAAGATTTCTGCATAATTCCTACTAATTACTTAATGCGTGCATCATTTTGAGATAAGAACCAAAGTTTTTTTTAATATTTCAGATAAAATCTCTCAAGATCATGCAAGCGCGATTAAATATATATACGTGCCAACAACTGTTTACAATTGCTCTTAATGTAACTTGCTATCGCCTTGTTTCATGATTTCAGAATAACTAACGTTTCTATTAATTTCTTATGAAAATTAAATTAAAAATGCTAAAAATTATTTAAAAATCATGAAAGCGAGTAATGTCAAAGTTTTTTTTATAAGATTCAAATACTTTTATATAGACCAGTTAGTTAATTTCGCCCTTAGCGCTAACGCTGGTAACCCCCCCCCCCTCAGTTGCAACCAGTGTCTCAGTCTAATGGATGGGGCTTTAGTGGTTAAATACCTCCATCAGTCATCCTTAAGAATTCAATCAGTTAACATAAGTAAAAAATAGCGTGAAAAAAGCTGTAATGTACATAAATGGACATACTATAGTTTCAGTTCTATAGAGAAGAAACCTTCCTCAATGTGGACTTTCTAACAATGAGAAAGGTTCATGTTTATAGAGCTTAAACTATAGCGTGTCCATTTATGTACTTTCATTTGTGCTTTATTCACGTTGTGTTTTGCTTTATACATAGCACAAATATACCCTATCCTTTGTTGAAATTCAATCAGTTGCTAATGAATAAGAAAAGAGATTCGATTCATAAGAAGCTGTCAAACGGTAATAAGAAACGTAATGAAATAACAGCATTGCAACAAAAAAGCCAAACGGAAAAAATAAGAAATATTATAATAATAGTAAATAAAGTAAAATAAAATTATATAAAAGTACATACGTTCCCAATGCTTATTGATACTATCTTTGTGTATCAAGAAGCCGCAGGGCATCACCAATTAAAAAATTGCGTAACGATGATCAAAACAGCTATTTGTCCAAAAAGTACAAAAATCTTTAACGAGAAAAAAATGAAAAGTATAAAGATGATAAAAAAGCATATGAAAAAATCCAAAGTTAAAACAAGTATGCATAATTCAGGTCTGCAGTATCGAAATGAAGTTATAAAAGTTCAAATTTTAATTAAAAGTATACAAGATAAGTTCTAAAAGGTGCTTTGCAAATTTTCTTTTGTAAATTTGTAAATACTGTTCATACCAGGTCTATATCACCTTCTTCTTAATTTATAGCTTTTATTCAATAACTGTTGTAAAAAGTAGTTTTTTTAGATGTCCTATTTCGAAAATTAATCTTTCGAGAATTTATGATCATTAAAATTATTAATTTTAAGACTTCAACCTTTTTTGCTTCCAATGCACAATCGTATTCACACTCGTCATTCGGTTATCAGAAGAGCAGATGTTTTGATAACTCTTTCAGAGGGCACAATATTAGGTGTACAAGTGTTACCTCCACAGTAAGAAGGACAGATTGTACAGAGAAAACGGAAAAGACATCCATGCCACTGACCAAGGTTCGAACCCGGGATCTTTTTAACAAGATCCCTGATCTGATCACCATAGAAGCCGGTTAGCCGAAACCTTAACCAGAGAAATGCTCTGACTGTTTCAGTAATTACTGTGCAAATTTGTAAGGTTCGCTTAGCGAAATCGCTTCACGAAGACCTGTCTGGAATGTGTACTTTTATTCTTTTGAAATGGAACTGATTCCAGGATAGAGACCTCTTTTTTTCTTTTCCCAAAGTGATCTTCGCAAAATCTACATATTTCTGTAGTGAAACTTGTATTTTCAGCACTTTTTGATGGAACTAATCCGCATTTGCGTTACATGAAGAGGAAAAACCACGAAAACTTTCCACAGTTAGTCTGACGGCAAGGGGACTCTAACCCACGATCCGTTTACAGCTGAGGATATTTTACGTCAGCGCAAGGTGCGGAATTCGTATCGATCAGTCATCAATGGGATTCGAACCCGAGTCACCCCACCAGGGCCGGATTTAAGCTTGGTGGGGTCCTAAGCTACTGAAAATGATGGGGCCCTTATAAGTTCAATTCCATTTCTAGACACCTAAAGTAAACTGTCACTATTTTTTATTGTTGAGTATTAACATTATAGTATTAAAAAATGTTATAATATTACTTTATTGTTAAATATATTAATTGTGATGAGACTATTATGTAGAACCTTTCTTTTATTGCACATATTTTTTAAACGAGGGGAAAAAGAATTTATTAACTAATATTTCTTATATTAATATTTTTTGGATTAATATATTTTATCATATGCTAAAATGGCATTATCGCTTATGAGAGTTTCGTGCTATAAAAATTTTTTGAAATAAATGTTCCATAATATTTATAACTAAATAAGTTTTTATAAGTTCCAGAATTATTAACTAATGAGTTTTTATTTATTGCTGAGCAAATATTGTTTATATCAAACACTGCATAAGTTATTTCTGGTAAAAAAAAAATGTACTGCAATAAAAAAGTACGGTATTTTACGAATTTATGAGATAACGGTTAGGTTATAGCACAATTATAGCTCAAATTACCACACATTTAGTAAAAATTTAATAAATGGTTCCTTACAAAAAAAAACACATATTAAGCACAGAGTAAAAATTTAGCGTGCTGGGCCACTATATATTTAACAGAGTTTTTTTTAGATTCATTATGAATATATTTTATTTGCAATTTTTAATAATTTTTTCCTTACGTTACAAAATCTATCAGACTTAGAAACATGAAATTTTGAATGTGCGTAGAAAATATGCAAGGAGTTAGAAAGGAAACAAGAAAATACAATTTGATTATTAGTTTTATTTTTTTTATAACCGCCTCTGAACAACCGACTCAATTTTGAGTTCACGCCCTATCAACCAGGCTATACCGGCCTTGCCATTTTGAACCCAATCCAGAAGACAATGGAACTGCTAGATTAGTACCCAGAGGTATTTATTGTTATGAGAATTTGGAGGACTTTGTGATCCCGACAGATTTAACAAACACCAGTCACCATTTTATACATGGGTATTCTTCTGCCGGCTGGATTTAAACTCCCATTCTCCCGAACACGAGTCCAACGCCCTATCAACCAGACTATCCCGGCCAAATTTATTAGTTTATTTTGTAACAGTCATTGCACAGCCGACCCAATTTCGAGTTTACGACTACTAATATTCAACTCCGTGGCCTTGTCATTTTGAACCCAATCCAGCAGTCCCTGGAGCAGGTGAGGGCCGTTATATTAATACTGTTTGTAAAAATAAAAAGAACATTTCGTTAGCTGATATTATTTAATTGATGTTTATATTGAAAATATTTCTTCATTATTTTTACTTTCTTTTTTAAGTACATTTGTTAAATTTTAGTGCAAGAAAAAAATTTTTATTATTTATGTAAATTTTTGGCTTATTTTTAAGGATTTATTAAAGGGTCTATTAAATATCAGAGAGAATAAATGCCATACGGATTTAAAGTATCAGCTCTGCTCTTGATGGTGTATAGTGGCTAGGATGTGAAAGAGCAACTGTCCCGCGCATACAGCCAAAACGAGCATTCAACATATCAATGGAACACAGTAAAGCTTTATATCAATTAGCAATTAGTTTTAGATAATTACAATTGTAGAATAATTATCTTATTATAGAATGAAATGTTTTAAAAAACAAATATCTGTTAATGTTCAACATTTAATCAACGAAAAAACAGAACCAATATTGAAATCTGACGAATTTATTGTTTTTAATTACTGATAAAGTTTGTGACAGAAAAAAAATTAAAGCCTGATATTTTCATTGATAAAGCATATTTCGATATCATTTATTTTCGTTCTTACTTAATATTAATTTGTTTGTGACAGTTAATTTGTATACCTCTTTTACTACATTTTCGAGGAGTTTAAAAATATAATATTGAGGATTTTAACTGAAATGAAATTTGCTTTTTTTGTATGCCTCTTTTATTACGTCATCACCACACACACACGCAACTGTCTACTCTAAATAATGCTATATAGAATCAGATAGCAAAACAAACGTGTGTAATTATTTAAATTCTTATTCAAAAGTATTAGTTAATTTTTTTTTTTTTTTTGAACTGACAATTTCTGTCCTTTTTTAGATATTTTAAAGTGCTATTTAAAACTGTTGCATATCACATGAAAGCATTAAATATATCATTTGTGCAATTTTAAAGTAAAATAAAAGGGAATTCTGATCCTTAGAAACAGATATTAAATAATCTGATGATCGAATGATGGGGCAAAAAAAAAAAAACTTTTTTACCTTTTAAACTAAAAAATTGTTTATTTATAAATAATTTATTAATACTCAAATTGCTTGAAAGATGATATGTTCCCTACTAATGACAACGAAGTTTTTTGTTTTATTCAGTCATTTATTTATATTTATTATGTCCGACAATGTAAAAAAGAAAAAAAATGCATTTTGGGCTTCTGAGGGCCCCGCTCCGAATAAAACTTTGAAAAAAGAGGAGGGAAAGTAGGATCTGGGGGCCCTTGTCATCTCGGGGCCCCAAACTACAGCTTATTTAGCTTATACGTAAATCCGACCTTGCACTCCACAGAGAAGTGAGTGATCTATCACCACTGCTGAAGCCACAACAATCGAAAATTTTGTTTAATCCTTCAAAGATTTAAGTGTTCTGCTCTGTGGCCAACTGGTGCACCAGTTTTCAATGAAGTTGACTTTTTACTGGCTGAAATTATAATCATGGAGATCAAATCAATCGGATCCAAATAATGCCTCCTCGTGATGGAAGTAATCATACGTTTGCAAAGATTTAAGAGACCAAGC